AGTCTTTTATTTTTGCAGTGCAGTCAAACTGATATTAGAGCGTAGTTAAGCCTGGTCTAAAATGTCCTCTGAACAATGAACAGGCAGCAGCTGTTGGAGGAGCTCACGCTAAGCTGCACCGAGGCTGATGATAAGAGGAGAGCAACTCTGAAATATTTTTGGGAAGGCCTTCACATGAATGTGTAACATCTGAAAGTAATTCCTAAAACAAGCCTGTAATTCGAAAGAAGCAGCGCTCGCTTTTTCCTTTTGTAGTTAAAAGTTTAAATTCTGAATTTTCTGCTTTTAGAGTTTAGTTAAAACAGTCGAAACTTCACGTAAGTGGTTCCTGATTTTTACCTCATATTTGTCCTCTGCGGTTCAGTTGTGGTGAGACATATGTAACATCTTTAAAACACACAAAGTTAAGTTGAAAAAGCCACTCACACAGCATCAGTGTTTGTACAGTACAATACAACTTTATTTATATAGCACATTTAAAAAGAATTGCTTCACAATAAAACAGCAGCTTTAAACATGAATAATATAAGACCATTAACAATGTGCTAACAGGTCAGTGTCACTAATTACACAAGAATAAAGGTGAATATCAAATCAAACACAGCTTTTAAAGTGATGGTTTGATCTGCACACGCAGGCTTTCTCAACAATCTCCGTTTGTTTTCTGCTATGTGCATATTCTCCACGAGAAATGTTTCCTCTGAATGTGTCGTTATCTTCTTCACTAATCAGTAATAAAGCCGTTTGCTATTCCTACTCATATGTTTCTGCCGTTAATTTTATTATTATTAATGACATTTTAGTTCACTGGATTAAAAACAAGATTTCAGTATAAAAATAAAACGAGATGAATATAAAACAAACATAAAATATAAAACTACAGTACAGGTTATTCATTTTTAACACAGTAATACAAACTGATAAATACTACACCTGTGTACAGTTACAGAAATAAACCTCAACAAGCAAAAATAACAAAAACATACATAAAATAATAAGTACATTTGTGAACTGGTTGAGTAATAATCATACTTGCACACATTTTAAATGCTGTATAATTAGGAAATTGCTACTTTTTTATTTGCATTACTTGATCAATGTTTAATTAGTTCTTTAATATCTGCAAGATAACTTTGTATTAGCTCCTAAAACCTGCATCACACCTGATGGTGAACATCACAGCGCTGCTTTTGTAAGGAGGATTTTATTTGTTTTCAAAGTGTTTGGAATTTTTTACAGAAAACTAAAAAATAAATCAATAAAATAAGTTTTACAGCAGTTATGAAACCTGAATATTAACAGTAAAAAAGTATTAATAATCCTGTGATGTCGCAGACCTGCTGCAGACGGGGAGAAACAACTTTAGTCGTCTCACTGGTCCAAACTGGCGATTTGACGTGTTTGTTTATCAGCAGTTTATGACTAATTTTGATGAATTGAGACTAATGCAGTATATCACACTGAACATTTTCCTCTAATAGAACAATTATAGATGATCGTGCGTGCTGTCTGTGGTCAGTGTAGTTCTCTCTAAAGATCATTTTAAGGACTTTTTTATATGACGGGTTTGTTACAGATGGTGAAGGTCAGATACACGAGCAGCGAGAATCAGCCTCACTCATCTTTTCTTTGGCCGAGTGCATGCAGCGTGTCACTGGCTTTCCATGAATTTCCTTTTTTTCCTCCCAGAATGAATAATTCTGAATAATTCTGTATAAATAATATAATAATTATATAAATTAATTATAATATATATATATTAT